AGGTGATTATGACGGCAGCGGCCAAGTATCTCACACCAGTACTTCTTGAACTCGGCGGTAAAAAGTGAGTGTTACGTTGTTTTCTTTCGCCAATAGATTTGACTGCAGTTAGCAGACGGCAGGAACCGCAAAAGGCGGTTTCAATCACGTAATTTGGCTTTACTGTTGTAAGGCCCCAGCTAAATAGACCAAACCACACCGTCCACCGCGCTGACGCTGAGGAGTTTAGGGCACTAATAATTCCCCGCCCTTCAGCCATCCTGATCACTGCGTTCGAGTATGAATACAGGGAAACCCCCATTACTCACAATATTGCAGTCGGGAAATGGAAGTAGTTGGAATTGACTGGGAAACGAGTTCCGATATTTCAGACAATAGGATCTTGGTGACGAGCTGAATAATAGACAGTGACCTTTAAAGGAGGAATTCACGATTAGAATGAAGGTCGAGAAAGAAGTAATTGACCTAGTTGAGGGACCCACGGACCTCCTGAGGGTGCGAACTGAATTCGCATGAAAAATTTGACCTCGGCGACCTATCATGCCTCAAAGTTGGCGGGTCCGGCGATCTCCGCCCACCGACCATCTGATCACTCGCCGCAGTCTATACGTGGCGAGTGATTAGATAGCAGAGAGAGCGTAGTGTTGAAGAGGGCACAGCGATGAGAGTCGCATCAATGCTCAAATCAACGGGCAAAGGGGTCCCATTTCTCGGGTTCTGGGCCGTTTCTCATGGTTCTTCCTTCTTTCGTGTACCACTCACCATCCCTAGTTAATTTGAAATGGGTTGCTTTTTCAGCGTGAATTCGTCCTTTAAGCCCACCACGCTATCTCGATCCTGGGCCGAAGCTAGATATTCCTCCCGGCACCATTGAATAGAAAATTGAACCGAATCCAATGTAAGTAAATTTGACCTCACTGAAGATACTCAGCTTCATAGGTTTTCATACTTTAAAATTCCACTATAAGTTTCATTTGTATTTAAACTACTGGACTTGGAATTGAACCTCTTGCTTATACAGCAACAGCGTTAAGCATTACACCATCAAAATTTCACAGTTTACTGCCAATTTCTGCAAGACTTAATGAGATTGTAGTGGAGTGGTTAGCACTTACAGTCCGGAAAGCAAGATTCTTGGGATCGGGTCCAGCTGAGGCTAAAAGTGATTTATTCTCAAGCCATGAGTTTTGGGATAATAATTTTGTCATTTTCAGCCCCGTGGTCATCGACTCTGACTCAGACATTGACGAGGTTGCAAAGAGGATTATCTACTCAAAGACGTATAACTGTGGTCAAATCTGCATCTCATCGGATTATGTAAGTGTCTCAAACCTTTCTCGGAATGCGCCTCGCATTCGGCTTTCACTCAAATCATATCGCATTTGAATGAGAATCGGTCCAAGCAATGGCTTGCACGGCCAACATTTTATGAAGGTTGTATTTCTGCAATCTAGTGAAAGAAGATGACTATTACCAAAATTCGATGCTTGTAAGAAGTTTTCTTCAGGGTAATTGTGCATCTCCACGCTTGACGCACTTCCAAAGGTTTTGAGGGCGGAGTTGGTGGTGTGGCAAGAAGCACAAGATTGAACGTAGGGACCATCGAAGATTGGAGGACAGAAATTATCGCCTTTTGCTCTACGTTGCGGAGAAGTTCAAAAGGCCGGCAGGGAGATGAGAGATAATGTGAGCGCGGAGAGCGGTAGAGAAATCCGAGAAGAGAGAGCATAGCAGATCAGCATTGCGACGCAGACAAAATATCGAGCGGTGGGCGGAGCGTGTCGCAACAGGAGGAGCGTGTCAAAGTCCTTGGCCCCTAGCGCCTTAGTGACGCATTTCGATGCGGGATTTTGGCGAGTCGCTTGCAGTTGCGTCCCATGCGCTTCTAGCCACTTTAAGGGCTCATTAGGTGGGTCTGAGCCCGAACTTTGCCTTTAAAGACCTCCCTTGAATCGGGATTTAACGAGGCACAGGCCACGATGAATTTAGGTGAAAAAACCTCTATTGGATGAAAACCTACTCGAAGTGTCTCTCGTGGATTATTTTACCGAAGGTTTTGTTCTGCTTGAACGGTGCCATCGCTTCGAAGTGTTTCGTCAGCGCAGCGATCAGCTTCGGTTTGATTTGCTCAGTGGTGAGCACCTGGAAAAATACAATTGGTGAACGGTAGTAGGTCAGGGTCCAATGGAAATCCTACACCATCGTGACAGAACGCAGAGTAATTCAAAATGAGTGGCCTTTTCCAATTACCGACTCTTCTCCTCCCCCCCCCCCTTTCCCCTGCCACCTCCTCTTGTCCTCCAATCTTCGATGGTCCCTACGTTCAATCCTTGTGCTTCTTGCCACACCACCAACTCCGCCCTCAAAACCTTTGGAA